CACATTTACCATACCAACAAAAACCAGCCTTAAATTGTACCCCTCAAATCAATGAAGAAGAATTGCCATTGGTAGAGTCATTATATTAGATAAGAGTTTCAATTTTACAAGTTAAAGTATACTTCACTATAAAATTAAAATTATATTGTGAGAAAGAGTTTATTTCTATATGTTAGAAGCTTGTCCTAATTTAAGGATTAGTTTTGTGTAGCTTGGTACACAAAAATGGTTTGATAGTATAAAGGGTTAAATTTGCTAAAGATTGAGCTAGGTAGAAAAGGGGAGCAAAAAGGATGAAAAGGAATTCCGTTTGAGTTAGAAAAGAGAAAGGAGTGCAGAAAATCAATCTTTCCTAGCCATTAAAATGGTAAAAATGATAATAAAAATATTTAAATATTTTTAACTAATTAATAATTAATTAAAATTTATTAAAAATATTTAAACAATTTCACAAATAATAATAATTATATTTTAAGTGAGGTTGTCCTCATTTTTAAATTTTCAAAATGCCAATAGTTATAATAATATCATGTATTATTGTAAGTTTATAATCATAATATGATATTAAATGAATATAATATGATATTAAATAATTAGATATATAAAATATTATAAATAGACCCTTGATAAAAAATAATTATATCTTGATACATGATATGATATTAAATAAATAAATAAATATATTATTATATATAAAATTTATTAAAAATTTTATTATATATTAATATATTATATTATGAAAGTAATATTTTATAATATGAATTATTTCAAATAAAATATAAATTCTTAAATAAAAAAAGACCTTACAAGTTACAATATAAAACAATCTAAATTATAAAATATTTTTTTAAATTATAAATGTATATCATTATGAGTGTTTCTTCACATTTTTTTTAAGAGAACAGTAATTCTACTTGTTTTCTTTCTAGAATTCAATTGTGACTCAAAAACCGAATGACCTGTCACCGGTGTGATGGTAAATCTGCGTCTTTCGAAGAGAGAAGGCCAAAACCAAGCGAAACAGAAATTCCTCCATATATGGCAACGAGCTTTCCTGTCCATCCAATCTCCTTAAAAAAGTTAACGCCTTTTATGTTTCTTCGTCTTTCAGATTCTCCACTAATTCTCCCTCTCTCACCAAATCTCCTCTCCTGCTTTCTCCCCCTTTTCTTTTCAGTGCTTTTGCTTTGCACCTCAGTCATCCATCCTTTCTGCATTCAGTAGAGTCACTGAATAAGGTCTCTTTCTGGGTCTGTTTTCAATCTCAATAATTGGGTTTAGGATCGAATAACTGAGGTGGGTTTTGCTTTTTATCTCTTTCTATGCTGTTCGTCTTTGAGTTTCCTTTGTTTTTGTTTTAAATTTTGTCTTTTTTTTTTTTCATCTTCTGAATGCATAGGTACACACCCTTTTGTTTGTTTGGTTGATTTACTTCACGATATTAGGTTTTTTTGTTTTAGACTGCTCAGATAGGAACTTTAAGGTTCAAGCTTTATAGTTTTCACTTGGGCTTGATTATCTCTGAGCTCTAATTTTAGTTGAATTTGCTTGTCTTTTTCTTTCTTATATCTAGTCTTTTGCCACTGTTTTCTATTTATTTTGCACCCGCATGCAGCATTATTAACTTCTCGTAGAACTTGGTTTAGTGCATTGATCAACAGATTTGTTAAATTATTTTGAATTGTCTACATCCCATAAACTTCCTTTATTGTGGGTAAGGCAATAAGAGAGAGGTCTCAAAGACTCAAATTTCTGACCTAATTTTTGTTGTTCTTCTAAATTATTCAGATGATTGCTTTAAACAACCAGGCTTTACAAGCAAATGAAAATCATTTGTTTGAAGAATTGCTTGTTATGTTAATCAAAGTTATTGTCTTGATATCAGATATCTTAAGCAAGGTCTTCCTTCAAAAATGCATATGCAGATAGATAATTTACAGTTTGATCCCTATAAGTATTTTCTATTTATGTTGATGTAATTGTAAGCTTTGATTTTTATATTCATGACTGCAATTTAACAGATCTCGTTAATGTAATTTTTCTTTAGATTTTTAAAGGACCCTTTTGTGGGCTCTATGATCTATCTTGCGGATGCATTGTCCTATTTTCATTCAATATCAAGAAAATAGTAATGGAAATGCTTTCTCTGTTTCAGCCCCATGACGCAAGGTGAAAGTGTATTTAATCCTGGAGGGGAGATTCAGATAAGTTTTGGCTATCAATGCAATAGCCTCAAAGGTAGTACTTGCCGCATTTTCAATGGGTGCGAAATCCTTCCGGGAAGCAAACTGCCAAGGACAAGCAGTTTCTCTTGTCTGTCTGGTGCTGCCTTAAGTGCAAATGCCACGTTGGCCAACACCAATATCTGCCATGGTCTGATAGGAGAAGAGATTCTTCCTAGCCTGGACTCTCCTAATTCCTTTCGTAAGGTTCCATCTTCTCCAAGGTTGGATATATTATCATCTTCTCTCCAAAGCAGCCTTTCAAACTTAAGTTGCAGCCCACCAAGTGCAAATGATCCAACTGAATGTGATTCTTATTCATTAAGATCCATGAGCGCTCCTTCTAGATGTGATAGTTTCCTTAATGCTATGGAAGTGCAAGTGGCAGGTGGAGCTGCTGGGGAAGACAGGGTTCAAGCTGTTTGTTCTGAAGAAAATGGATGGCTCTTCTGTGCAATTTATGATGGCTTCAATGGAAGAGACGCAGCTGACTTTCTGGCTGGGACATTTTATGAAACTATTATCTTTTACCTTAATTTGCTGGATTGGGAAAAGAAGCAGGATGGCACTAGGGCATCTAGTCTTGGTTTGGATGCAGGTGAATCTCTCCAATATATTCTTGATGATTGTAATGCCTGTAATGAAGTGGGAATTCCTTCTGATTCATTTAGGCAGGGGGTGCTTGATAGCCTCCAACGTGCTCTAAATCAGGCAGAGAATGATTTCTTGTACATGGTGGAGCAGGAAATGGAGGATCGCCCTGATTTAGTTTCCATAGGGTCTTGTGTTTTGGTTATGGTTCTTCATGGAAAAGATCTTTATATGCTCAATCTAGGTGACAGTCGAGCTGTGTTAGCAACATATGGGGGAGATATTGAAACAGGTGGGAAGGAGAGATTGGAAGCTGTTCAACTTACTGATATTCACACTGTTGATAATGAAGTTGAAAGAACTAGACTCTTGCATGATCATCCTGATGACTCTACAAGCATTATAGGTGGGAAAGTGAAAGGAAAATTGAAGGTTACCCGTGCTTTTGGAGTTGGTTACTTGAAAAAGGTAGGTATTGTTTGAATGATGTTATAAGTTCCCCTTAATTTCCTTTACTCTCTTAATTATTTTGACTCCTTAATGGAACAACATTGACCACATTACATCCTAAACAAAATCTAGAAACTTTCATTGTGCTGATCAGTATATCTAAACTGAATCTTGTTTTTCTTAAACTGCTCAGAAAAATCTGAACGATGCACTGATGGGTATTCTTCAAGTTCGTAATCTCATTAGCCCTCCATATGTTTCTATTGAGCCATCACTGAAATTGCACAGGATCTCAAAATCTGATCACTTTGTTATAGCTGGGAGTGATGGCTTATTCGACTTTTTCAGCAATGAAGAGGCTGTGAAGCTTGTCCGTTCTTACATCTTGAGCAACCCTTCAGGTGATCCAGCAAAATTTCTAGTGGAGCAGCTTGTGATTAGAGCAGCCCATGCTGCAGGTAAGCTTATTGTTTCATTGCAAGACATTTCTTTATTATTATCTGGCAACTCATTAGAACCACATTAACTTTAAGCATTGATGAAAGTTTTGCTTTGCTTCATATTTACATAGCGAGCATGTAGCTTTTCCAGTTTAATTGTAAATGGAAACTATACTTTGGTTCTGTTTGTGTCTGTTCCTTTAGGAATCAAGGATTTCCTGGTACAGATGCGAGGGACATATTTGTCCCCCAGGGCTTTTAGCTCTGTTTTGTTCGTACTTCTTCCATCACTTGTTCCCAAAAACTAAATAACAAATGGAGAAGCAATATCAGCATGCTAAAAAGATACTAAATTGTCCATTAGTGAGTTGCAGATGGATTTTTAAAGATAGAGGAGTGTACTTCTTTATCATCCTAAGGTTTTGAAGGCATTGACATTTTAATTACTGTTGCAGGTTTCAGTAAGGAAGAACTGATGAACATTCCGGCTGGAAGGAGGAGGAAATATCATGATGATGTTACTGTAATTGTGATTATTCTTGGAACCAATCAGCGCACTTCTAAGGCATCAACTTGTGCCTGAGTCTTATGTTGCTGCTTTCTTCTCTGCAGTAGCACCTATATTTTTCAATTGTACATAATAGCTTATTCAGAAACTTACTCTATATTTCTACAAACTAATTTTTCTTTGGCACACAAATTAGCATGAGAGTGCCTTAATTGTAAATAAGTGATAAACCTCATTTTTTCCTTGGATGAAAATTCCAAGTTAAGAATATCTGTGGGAAAATAATCGTTGGCAATTAGTACCTATTTAAGATCAAATTCTTCTTCCCATGATGAATGCTTATCCATTCACCACCTTTATTGAATTTGTCTGATGATGTTTCAATCTCTTTTATTGGTAGCTTGAAATGGAATTATCATTTCTTTTCCAATCAAAACAAGAATCAAGTATGTTGATTAATGTAGTTATAATTGTGTTGCTAAGTCTACTGATCTACTTTGCAGGCTTGCAAAGGTGCAACATTCTTTCCTCTTTCCAAGCTTATAGAAGCTATACTGCTAGAGAAATTAAATTTCTGATAAATAATAGCAGGATTAGGCTGAAGAATAATATGCTTGCATTTGAAATTTAGATGTTCGTTCCACAGATTCATTTATATAAGTTCTTACAGATTTGCTAGGCAAGAAAAGTACAATTATTCCAAACTTAACCCCTTGTGAAGCAAAAGGTGAACTAGTTGACAAGATGCTCATCTCCTCTGGAAGCATGGCATGAGAGCCACTCTATGGTGATCAACTAGTTCTCTGCTTCCTTGCCATTGTTCTCCACTGGTGAGGTATTTACTTCCCCATCCTTCTCTTCACCCTTGTTATTGTGGGCATCTTTAGCATCTTTAGCATCTTCTGATACGTCTTGCAGCTGCAAAATTCAGAAAGATTCAGTTTAATGCTTATGCTAATTTCTGAGACTTCTTAAGTGATTGAAGCTAAGAAACAGGCAAATAAATCTAGGTAACTTACCCCCAAATTTCTTAAGCTAGTAGTGACATCTTCTTGTTGTTGATGGAGGGTATTCCTCAGTTCTTGAAATTCCTGATTTCATAAATGGAATATTTAATAGTAATTATGCAACCATTACAGTGAGAAATGTAATATGAGAAATACTTACTGAACGGAGCTGCTCCACTTCAACGTTAAGAGTCTTCTTTAGCTCTGTCAGCTCCTGCACATTAGTATGAAATGTATCAAAATCAGGAAACTTTTATTACAAAATGTGGATAGAGGTATACAATAATTTTAAGATGAATATAAGGTAAGATCAAACAATGTCAAATTATGTTACATTACTCCAGTCATTATATTTGCCTAGGAATGTTTCCACTTAGAAAACAGAGATTAAGTTAAAGATGATTACTTCCAAGGTTATGATTTCCATGACCATGTTAAACAGGTATAACAGGGTATAGATCATTGTCAAGGTAACCGTTGCCAAGTTATCAAGATCATATAAATCATTCCAATTAAATCAAACGAAGATGAAAGGTACAATGCACAACCAAGAAGTTCTAAAACCATAATGCAGACTTCAACATTCAACAGCTACCATTATGTAGTTCATGCAGCTCAAGGCAGAAACATTTTAGCCTCTAATGGTGGGTTCCAACTTCTAATTCTTATTGCACATTGAAATTTTTGCGATCCACCAATCCCTAAGCTAGAAGGATTTTGTTAAATGGCAAAGACATAGATCATTCTAATCTTTGACAGCAGATGAATGTGGATGTAACCCCCATGTTAAGAACTTATTCTTGCATGGATAGTCTCACCATGAGTAAAAACAAAGAAGAAGAGCCATTTATCATAGTGTCAGAGCCCAAGCTCCGTTTTTCTTTTAACCATGTTTGTTCTACACCCACATGACTGGATGTGAAATTCATACCGGGCTAACACATAAAAATCTTACATGGATCAATTATGGGGAAATACTCTAATCTTAAAATAACATATGAACCCTCCAATTGATTTAAGTTTAGATGCCTTATATGTAAACAAGTATCTATTCCACATTTCAAGATGAACAACATATATGTTTGCATCAAAAAGAAACAAAGAGACAAACAGCAAGTAGAGCTTACATCGCGGTAGATTTTGACTTGGGTGTCTAATTTTGATCTCCAGTTTTGCAAATCCTAATGGACAGACCCAAAAAAAAAAAAAAAAGGAACTTTCTTAGAAATCATAATTAGATAAAATTATATAAACCCAAATAATAAAAATCATATCTTTCATAATAACCTGTTTTAACCCTTGGATTCTATTAAGCAGCTCTGCCCTTGATTCATTCAATTCCTAAACCAAAAGAAGAAAAGGTAAAACATTTTAGAAAATATTAGCTATTTCACATCCCGTGTTCTTAGCTCTTAGTAAGAAACGAATCAAATCAAACAATACCGCAATCTTTGAACCGATTGGAGTAATGTTCTCCTTCTTCTGCAAAATCAACCAAAAAAAGGTAAAAAAAAAAAGTTAGTAAGAGCATCAATTGTCAACTTTTCCAAGCAAAAACTGAAGAAAAACCAAAACCCACGAAGAAATTAATCCAAAAAAAGAAAAAAAAAAGAAAAAAAAAGAAAGACAAGGAAGAGTACAGGAGCAAGTGGGGCAGAGACGGGGAGAGGAGGAGTGGAAGAATCGGAGTTTGCCATTTGGGTTGGAGCTAAAGAGAGAGAATTATAGCGAAAATTGGAAGAGGGAAGCTGAATGGTTAATGGGGGTTTTGGTTTTATTGCTATGATGATGAGCTTCGACGAAACGATGGTGGGTTCAGGTGGAGATCAGAGAAATTGAGAGTAAAGTGAAGTGTTTTTCATTTTTGTTTTGGAATTTTGATTTTGAAATTTGGGGTTAAGGGTGTGTTTGGGCGGGCAAACTGCTCATGGATTCTGACTTCGAAAGGGGGATTTTTATGACCGACAAACAAAGCTCCTCCAATGCTTCATGGGGCCTACTTGCTTGCATGCTTACAAGATCATTAATTAGGAGGTTGAGCCGTTGAGCTCAAAATAAATAATAAAAAAATTTCAATTAAATTTTGTTAAGTTAATTACTTAAATATTAAATGATTATTTTTTTTTACTGAAAATAAGATATCTTAAATTTGAATTGCATGGCATACAGATGAAATGAAATAAGATAACAAATGCGAAATGATTATCTCTCATTATATAAACCAAAATTAAAAAAAATTAAATTTTGCTAGAAAATAGTCTCTTTGGTATTATTGAAAATTTTTTTTTATTTATAAAACATGCGGAACTTATTTTTTTATATTAAAATATAAATTAAATGTTTAATTTGAGCATTAATATTACTAAAATATTATTAATAAATTAACATATACGAAAAATAAATTTATTAAAAGTAATTCAATAAATTTATAATCTAAACTTATACTTTTATTGTGTTGTCCGACTTAAAAAACAATTTTCTAAAACAGGTAACATCATCCTCATTTTTCAATGTTGTCTCTGCCATTGCATTTAAAAGCTTCCAACTTGGAGCTTCTTTTCTGTTTTTTGATGGTCAACTTGAAGTTTTAATATTTGACCAGTTAAATTATAAAAATTATAACATCATAAGTTTAAATCTTTAGGCTTAATATAATTTAAACTTAAAAATGAGGATAAAAACTTTGATGAAATTTTAAAATTAAGAGGACAAATTTTGATCATTTTGAGAAAAAGATTATGCTTTTGCATCAATTAGAAATAAGAATAATTTGACAAAAATTTACCATATCATGTCACACAAATTGCAATTTAAACTTAATTTCACATTACTTAATAATTTAATCGATAATGTTATAGTTACAATATTATGTAGAGTTATAAGTTTACAATCATAACGTGATATTAAATATATATGATGTGATATTAACTGAATTAATATATACAAGCTCATGTGTAAATCATTAAATAATAAGAGTCAATTATATATAAATACATCTGTTATAAGTTTATAATACCACGTAATATTATAATTATAACATTTTCATAGTTTAATTATCAATTAAAATAAAAAGAATCTAATTCTTGCAATGTCATTTTTCTATTCCAATTATCTTTATTTTCTATTAATAAGATCATGTTCTCATTTCTAACTAATCCAAAGAACTTAGTATTTTCTTTTCAAAATAATTGAAGTTTGTACTCTTAATTTCAAATTTGATAAGAGATTGTGTCCTTAATTTTGAATCATGTCAATGCAAATATGACCAAAAGGAAAAGAATTGAACTTCAAAAAGTCACATGCACCATCTGAAACAACAGCTGCAAGCTTGCAATATTGTTTTTAAACTTGTTTATCGTCTCTGTCCAAGACAAAAAATCGCCGCCAACGAATCCCTGCTTTGCACTCCAATCACTTATTTTCTGTTTATTATAATATTCTTTGCTTTACTCATTTTTAAGAAAGTCATTTTCACTTCAATTAAAATTTTAGAACTAAAAAAGACCCCACCCAATTTTTATTTTTTATTTTTTTCTGATTCTGACAGAGTCTAGCATGCCCAGTCCGTTTTTAATAAATTCAAGGTGAAACGTCCTCATGTCTTCCTTCACAGTTCTTTTAAGAAAATTCTCAAACTAAGTCCTCAAAATATTATTATTTTCAATTGAGCCCTTATAGTTCTTTTTTCTTGGTGGCAATTGGCAAATATACCTCAACTTTGCAATCTATAAAACTTTACTCAAAGTGGAGGGAATGTTATAACATGTTTAGTTTGAGAAAAGGGAAGGGATGAAAATTCATCTATTTTGTTAGTAAAAATAAGAGGAAAAGAGGGGAGGAAAATAGAAAAAACTGAAAAGATGTCGTATACTTTCATTTTTCTTATTTTTATTTTTTTAAATTAAATATAAGTTAATGTGTAAACCTTTTTTTAGAGACAACCAAGAATTACCTACATTTAGCACTTAATTTGGAGAAATTATTGCAAATGAAAGAAGATAAGGAGCTAATTTGACGCGCATTGGCATAAAAAAATAAAATAAAAAAGAAAGAAAGAAATTGAAGGACTTATTTGAAAGCCAGACAAAAAAAAAGACTTATCAGAAAATTTTTGGCCTTTTATATTGACTTGTTTTGTATTTGACGGAGTCCGTCATGGCACCACCACCACCAAGTCCTTTGCCGTTCACTCATTAATTTATTTATTCTCATGAAAATTAAAAAAAATTCTTCCTTCGGGCCAAAGTAAGAAACCAAACGCGGCCTTAAAATATTCGAAACCAAACAGAGACAAGCCTGTTTTCTTCCCTTCCATCATCTGTCTCTTCAACTCGTGACAGCTGATTCAGGGCCAAAAATGAGTCAAGAATCTTTCATTTACAGCTTCGTGGCTCGAGGCACGATGATCTTGGCCGAATACACAGAGTTCACCGGCAATTTTCCGGCAATTGCAGCACAGTGTTTGCAGAAACTGCCTTCCTCAAACAACAACAAGTTCACTTACAATTGCGATCACCATACCTTCAACTTTCTTGTTGAAGATGGTTACTGTAAGTTCCACTCTAATCTATTCCTCTATATTTTTGGGTCTCCTAGAGCAGCAAAAGTAGTATGGATATTGACATGTTAATATTTGTTGGATTTAGAGGTGGAAGTTGTTGGATCTAGTGAAGGAAGTGTATAATGGTTCTGGGTTTTTTGGGTTAGATGCTAAAAACTTGTAAAGTGAGTTTCTTTTGTTGTTTGTGTCAAGTTTTCTGCTTGGCTGCTGAGAAAACAAAGGGAGATTCAGGAAAAAGCAAATCTTTTGATCCTGATTTGGTTTATTGTAGATGGGACCATGGGTAGTGTAAATTTCTTTATAATTAACTTTCTGTTTTCTTATTGTTTCCTAGACCACAAGATGTTGGATAATGTTTTTATGAATGTAATGTAGCTGGGCCTATTTGTATAGAGCTGTCTGTATGTGAATCTAGTGGGATAAATCTTATCCAACCATATAACTGAAGGTTTCAATAATTCAATCCAACTATTTGTTCTCAATAAATGAAGTAAAAAATTGGGAAATTTTATGAAGAATCATATGCTTCCTTAATGCTAGGCTTTTTGAAAGAGTTAAGATGGAAAGAGAGTTGGTCTTGTCTGAGCTGGTCTAATTTATGGGAAAAATTCACCTAACTTTGTTACAGTTTGTTTAGATATCTACTGTTGGTTACCGATGTACTTATGATGCAAACAGACTATGGAATTTGTTTAGATATATACCATTGTTTAATTAACTTGAAAATTATATTTTGGATTTCCTAACATTGGTATGAGATATGTTCGCATTTATTGCATTCTGTTATTTAATTCTTTCTCTTTTAGCCAACCATGCTGTTATTTAATTCAAATAGTGTTTGCATGGTGCATTAATGTAATGGTATTTGTCCTTGTGGAACTTGTAAATTGTCCCCATGGGTGTGGGTAGTACGCTGTCAATGGTGTGGCAAGTACCTTGCATTCATTATATGTTGGGTTTTTTTGTAAGTTTGGTTTAAACCTTTTTTTTTTTTTTTTGGCCATCGACGTTTGTTATTAACTGAATGGCTGAGAATCACCTACATGCTGTTGGGTATCCACTAGTATGCTGTTGCATGTCAGGAAGGAGAATATTCAATATGCCTAAGTTGAAGCCTGTTTCTGCTGATCCCTTAATGTTTTGTCTGCTGAGTGTCATTGGGATGTGTAGTCAGTTCATTCATATAGGAATAAGCTCCTGCCATACGTTGTCTGCTTTTATTAAATTTCCCTGAATCAAATTACTAAATTAGTGCTGAAGCTACAAAAATGGCATCCAGCTGGACTCTGGGCATAATACTCATGGTCTCTAGAATTCATGTAGTATTTGTAGGATAAAAGGTGTGAAGGCAGATCAAGTGAACTAGTAGTTATAAAATTGTAATAGCTATACATTCAAATCTATCCTATTGCTTAGCTAAAGCACAAATTGTTTATTGTGGTGTTTGGCTAATGACAAGTTCCTCGCTGCATGCAGCTTACTGTGTTGTTGCCAAAGATACTGTCAGCAAGCAAGTTTCCATTGCCTTTTTGGAACGCATGAAAGCAGACTTTATGAAAAGATATGGGGGTGGAAAGGCAGATACGGCTACTGCCAAAAGTCTCAATAAGGAGTTTGGGTATGTTCACCTCACCAAGCCTTTGAATGATGTGAGATATTTAGATTCCTTTGGTCAAATTAAAATTTTGCAGCTTAATTAAAACGTAAGAAAATGTGATATGCAGGCCAATTATGAAAGAGCACATGAAGTACATTATTGAACATGCTGAAGAGATTGAAAAGCTTTTAAAGGTGAAGGCTCAAGTTTCAGAAGTTAAAAGTATAATGTTGGAGAACATTGACAAGGTAAATTTATTTTTCTAATTCTGTGTGTATATATTTTTTGAGCATTTCGATTCTGTGCTTCGTGCATTCTGTATTCTCTCTATATGCGGTGTAATTGAGCCCTGATTAATTACGGGAAATTAACGCTGTTAGTCCCCAACCCCAGCCCACCTCTCCGTCTTCACTGGTTGTGTGTGCACAAGTACATACAATCATAAATGGAGTGCAGAAAATTACTGACTTATCATTTTTGACTGGTATAATGAAAGTCTTCTCTGGATGTATAAGAGGCTATGGTCCAAACTCATGACAGAATTGACTCAGCAAGAGGTTTCCAGAACAGTTAATTGACTGTCATTAGTAGAGTTTATGATGAGTAAGATGTCTAAACAATATCAGCTGTCCATCCACATGGTGGTGTTAGTAGAATAGTAATTAGGAAAAAAATGTTATTCTGGATTTTGTTTGGTACTATCTTCAACATCATCTACAAAGTCAAGCTTATTTGATTATTTCACTTGTTTTCAGGTTAGACCTTATAAATGTAACTTGTGTAACCCTCTATTATGCTCTGTATTGCAGGCAATTGAGAGGGGGGAAAATCTGACGACACTAGCTGACAAGACAGAAAATTTGCGTAATCAGGTAAAGTAACGTGGCCAGAACATGCTCTATCTATCATAATCAGCATTTGTCTCTGCTGAATATTTATTAACTTGTTGCATTTTTCAGGCCCAAGAATACAGGAAACAAGGGACACAAATTCGCCGGAAGATGTGGTATCAAAACATGAAGATAAAGTTGATTGTTCTTGGAATCTTGTTAATTCTAGTCCTGATAATCTGGCTCTCCATATGTCATGGATTCGATTGCACCAACTAGCAATTCTTCTACTCATGGAGCACTAAAGTTTCTGCAGTATACAACAGTTGAGCTTTTTCAACAACTTATATTCAGCATGAGCCTTGAAGTTTCTTACCATCTCCTTCAGTCCATTGAACCAGAGTCATTGACTAAAGGACTGTTATTTTAACACGAACAGAGAGATGTCGAGATGGAGACTGTACTATGTTTTTTTTTTTTTTTTTTTGGGTTAGTAAATCTTGTACAAAAATTACATTGATTTGTTGCTTTTTGTTCTAATTTGATTTTTTATAGCAATAAAACTCCAAATTTAAGATTTTGATACGATGCTTGATGACTCAGACCTGGCCTCCAGGAGAGGAGAGCCAAGGAGGGCCATGAACAAGATTTTAATCATTAATGTGGTAGAATTTGTTGAGTTAAACAATGATCCATTACATAGTTGTTGGTAATAAGTGATTTTGATCTGCACATACCATTCAGACTCGAACTTTTTCCTTGGATGTGAGATTGTGTCATAAAAGTTCTGCAAATTCTGCTGTTCATGGTCCAATCCCCATTTTATGAACAAGATGTAAGTGAGCTTTCTTCCATTTTTGCTGATCAAACTTCAAAGTTCCATCTTTTCCCTTTGGAAGGAGACATCTACATGACTTCTAAGATTGAAAATGATAAGAATGCAAGTAAAAAAGACAGTGAGGGGGGCCCCTAATCCATAGTATATTGCTCAGAAGCATCACAAGTCATGGCTTGCCTACCCAAACGCCTTTTTGAAGGTTGTATTTAGAACTTTCACTTACTTTCTCTCTCACAACCAAATATGCATGTTCAGCTGACTCAAATCTCATGAAATTAAGGTAGGCGCCGGCAGAATATTTCCTCACAAACACCTTCTTTTCTCCACAACAGTTTGAAATGGAGTACGATGGTAAGCTAAGAAACTTGCAACTATTAAGAGGAACGTGGCCTAATAATGCTGCCCTTCAAGTTTGATCAATATTCTCCCTTTAAACTAATGTTTCTTTAGTTGATTTTACGGATTGTTAAAAGAAAAAGGAGAGAAAGAAGAGACGGTTCCTTTTTTTTCAAAACATCTAAATAATAATTAAGAATTTGAATATTTAAAAGATCATCAGAGTTTATAAATAATATAATTTATTAAAAATTCTTTTGATATTCAAGATATTAGACTATTAAAATATTTGAAATTGAAATCGTTTAGTTCAATTATTGTCACTTGTAATGATTGCACCCATTTCAAAATGGAGAAATTTGAACTTGTAATTTTATTACCATTAGACAATTCATCCATTCCCATTCATCACTGGCAAAAGGACACCATAATTTAATGAAAACAATGGAAGACCATTTCATCAAGATTGCATTGCATCTTCTATCTCTTTCATTTTCTTTTCCTTGAGAAAGAGAAAGCAAATGGGGGCAAAGAAGGATTAGTGCATGGCATTGGGATATTGGCAAGAGTACAAATGCTCTATGGCCACCCAAATCATCAAAATTCAAGAGAAGATAAACTAAGATCTGCTTTGCCCCATATCTTGTGGATAGGATCAAAGGGCAGGAGTAGCCTTTTCTCTTCTCCATTCCCCTCTTTATGACTTCATTTCCTTCTCTCTTCTTTGCAAAAAGTGACTACTCAATGTAAAGTGACATATTGCTGCCCATTCAAAACAGGGATGGACTTCAACCGAACACAATAACCAAATCAACAAAAGTTTCTGACCTTTTTTTTTTTTAAGAAGATTTTTTTTCCCTTTTTTCTCGGAATTTAGACTTGTACACAAGAGTCTTATCCACACGAGTTTACATATTAGTCTTATTGTGCATTTCTAACTTGCTACCAAAATCAAAATGGTGTGGCATGGACTAATTTAAACTGCCTTTTTGAAGTGGGGTAAGATTCTAGCTTCGAATTTTGATTGCAGACTGAGAAACTGTATCAAATCTCATTCACTCCATACGGCTAAGTCAGATGAAGCTTGACTAGACAAGGGTTTTTCTCCAGTTTTTCCCCAGTGGTTTAGACAATGATTGGACAAGTCATGTCCAAAAAGGTTTAAAAAGGGACAAAAAATTAATATAGGTCCATTTTCAGTAACTGTTCAAAATTCCTCCACAAATAATTCTTCCTAAATTTCCTAATCATAGTTAAATCCACTGTTCAACAAGAATACTAGATTGATAATTAAGATTATTTTCTTTGATTGTCATTGATAATTAAGATGTTTGTTTTCTTCTTTTGACAACATTTGTCATCATTGTAATTTCTCTACTGCCCTTCGCTCTCACCGCCAGCACACCACACAAAACAAGAAGACAGAGGCAGAGGAAGATGCAAGATTTCTTCCTTCCATGTTGGATAGACCCTGTCCATTTGTTCAATGGATACTTCACACCTGGCTGCATCACATTGCTAGCTGCTACTTGAACAATTCCCAAAACTTCCTAAGCTCTCTTCCTTCATAACCAGCTGGTTTCGTTTATTTCCCTTCTAACAGAATACAATTAATTTTTTTGAACTTTTTCTGTCTATCTTGTGCTCAACAGCCTTTTTCGGTGTTAGGTATACAACACAATTAGTTAATAGCACAATCGTAACATCCCAAAAACTATTGTCCTTCCAATCCTGTATGTATAAGAATATAATTAAATTGTAACATACCAAATTAGAACTACAAGTTAATGACTTCTCGTGTATAGGTTCTCTCAATTGTCTATTGGCAGCCATGACAGCATGAGTTAATTACAGCACAAGAAACACAAATTTTCATTTCACAATCACGGTTATATATAATTTACAGAAGTGCATATGACACCATATATCAAGTACATGAATCCCAACCACATTTCCACTAAAAATCCAAAACTCATACATCAAAATCACTAGCTAGACAACCAAATTAAACCCAGTAATTAAGCCTAAATAGAAGCACCGAAGAAAATAGAAAAATGAAAAACACGCACACACAGAGGCACAGGCACACGCTGAGTAGTACTGCATATCATATACTACATGTCTCTAACTTCGAACATGTTACGATTTTTCACCACGATGTCATACATGTGCATGGACTTGAACTTGCTAAAATCCCTGGGGAGGGAAATCAAATCGACGGACGTAGAACTTTTGTGGAACTGAAGAAGCTCAGGGTCATCATAATACCTCTCCCACCCAAGAGATGATAGCTTGCGTTCAAGGACAGTATAGGAGGTGATAACTTCATTAGTAGGAGTGTGTACCAGCACCTTCCGGCGGAAACTCGACACCGGCCGGCTTCCGTCTAGCGACTCTGCCGCCGGGTTCTCGACAAGACGAACAACCCCGTTTTTGAACACCCAAACACCAGACATTTTTGAATTGATAAGAGGCCAGTTAAGGAATTAAGGAAGAAAATGCAATATAGCTAGGAAAATGGAGAGATTGCCGGGGAGTAGTACATGGACATGGGGAATGCAAGGTGTATTATATATATAGAGGGTTAGGGAGCTCTAGTGAAGGTAAGGTGGGGCCCGATTGGGGGAGGGGTGTGTCCTAAGGGTACATGGATGTGGGACAGTGTCGCATGAATGTGGGCACACGCAAGAGGATTGAGGGGAATCGTGCTTTTGATTAACCTCAGACTATAATGGAGTCTTTGTTTTGTTTTTGGTTAAGATCATGCTTTGTGTTCTAGAGAAAATGAATGAATACTAAATTTATTTACTCTTCTTTTTTTAATGAAAAATAGAAAAATATATTAAGTACTAAAAAATTACATTAGAATCTTCATCTCATGGCATATAACCAAAATCAGAATAACTTAAAGATAAAATCAGAAGCATAATCTAATAAGAAGCATAACCTACAGCACTAATAAACAGTCTTAAACTATGCTCATGACAGATATAGACAATTAAGCAAAGAGAGACATCTGTAACTAGGAATTAAATTTACAATCGTTGTATGGATCAAATAAGGCTACTAATGTAGAAAGGGAAGTTATTGTAAGCATTAAGAATTACTGAATATCCTTACCTATTTAACCAGCTTCTTGGAGAGAGTAAGGGATTCCGACAACAAATAGTCCCCAACTCACAAGTTGCTGCCCTACTTGTTCTTAAAAAAGAACAACCAATAAGGGTATAGGCCTTCTCTTGACAAGCACAAGGCCCCTTAATCATCTCCGTATACTCCCAATCACGTTCCCATCGTTGTCAATCCTCTTCAAATCCATGTTCTTGAAACTCATTAAGGGAACTAGAGCTCCTTTGCCGTCTTGAAAATCAAACTTCCCACACCAACCATAGCTAGCCTTACCAAGAACATCCCTTTCCTTCGACAATCAGCTAGTTGATCGCGAATTGGTGTGAACCAGATTTACCGAATTCGACCCTCGCTAATATCCTATCTGATGAGATGCACTAAAGTGAGATTCTTACCCGTTAAATAAGAGAAACCAACTTTATCGACAAAATCAATTCCAATCAATATATGTAAACCCTAGAAAACCCAAAAGGTCGTTGCCTTGTGGTCCCTTAGGTTGGTGTTTCCAAAGCAAGATAGCGACAAGATGAAGGAGGAGATCAAGAGGACAAAGGGAAGGGTGAGAAGAAAGGAGGAACGAAGGAACTTCTCTGCCGGAGAGAAACTTTAGGGAGGAAAACTCGTTGTTACTGTTCTCAACATTAGAAGCAATGCACGAGAGAAAACACTATTTATTTACTTTTAATCTACTATTCACGTTTATTACTTCAATTTAAAAAGTTTATTTCTTCTGAAAATGTTATAGTAACTTTAAATGTTATATCACTTTAATCTATATAATACTTATGTGATAGATTATGTAGTATCATATAAACGTTTATGTGAGTTTTTGTACAGAAGAAAGGATAGAGCTAAAGACATATGATTTTTGAAATTATTAGATCACTTCAAGCGAAAATAAACTTTTTATATGCATTTTAAATTTAGGAATTTTACATGCATTTTTGGAGTGTATATATATACACCAGACTTATTGGTTTGAGTGAAATAAACTCGATTCTCCTTAAATAAGATTTCAATTTTGAGTCTTGTGAATAGAAAAATAGGTACCGAGAAAGGAACCCCTTATAAGATCCGATGCGACTCGATTTAATATTACTTAGGTTCCAATGTAGATCCGATGCAACTCGATTTAATATTACTTAGGTTCCAATGTGGTTGTTGAATATTAAGAAATTAGTATATATATATTGGTATATAGCTGTAAAGAACTTGTACAATACGGAATGCTGTGTATATATTCGGAATCCTGGTCGGCAGGCATAATTTACATTGAGGATTTTGATGGTTATACCTTATGATTGTTTAATTGTATCTTTACCATTCAAAAGAAATGGAATATTTGTGTTAGCATGGCCAGTCGCTTCAACATGAAAAAGGTTATGGTAGAAAAAAACAAATTTTGAGTACATATTGCTTTCAGATTAATTGGATCCAACTTTTACTTTGAATGGAACTTTTTACAACTTTTTAAGATTGATTGGGAATAATTACAATGTTTTTCTACAATGTAACGTGATGGAAAATATTAAGTGTATATATATATATATATATATATATCAATTGAACAATGATTGACACATAATTTAGATTAACAAACTGCATAATATATTTATTAAAATTTTATTATTTTTTAATAAAAAATTAAAAACAGATAAATTCAAAGATACAATCATGCACGCATGGTACAAAAATCAGCTAAATCGATTGTATTTATATTATATTTTTAATTGTTAAATCTAAAATATGTCAAAAAATATGTTGAACCAAGAGTGTACAAATTATTTTCCATGTCAATTCATGTGAGATCTAAATAAAAAAAAATATAATCACAAAACACCACATCATACTGAATAAAAAAATGCAATAAAAAACATTGTTCATAAATACATTTTTGAGTTTTATATGAGCAAATTATCTCATGACATTTTTTAGAACCATACCATGAAGATAGAGAGAAGATTTTTATTTGCTATTAACTACATTAACTTTTAAATATATATAGGAATATTGTGAACATATATATATTATCTCGTTCATTGAAGGGAAACTGCAATAAGGCAAATTGGAGAGAAATGGAATAAAATTTTATGTAGGGGAAAAGGGGATGCTGCAATCATCTTACGACACGAATATTTAGCAGGGGGTAAATGTCCTTTTCCAATTTGTGAATGGTTGGGTGTAAAGAAGAAAAAATTTTGTGTGGTGGGACCAAAAATTAAGGTGAGGGATTCTCTCAATTCTAGCTGTCTGGGAATAAGGTTTTGAACCTTATAATGTTTCTTTTGCAGTGGGACTTCACACAAATTTCTAACATTGCCTAACTCTTTGACTAGTATCTATATTTTTTTCAATCAATTAACTACTTTTTTTTCTTTTGTTTTGTTTTTTTGTTAGATGGCATCCCCATCAAGGCATCTTATATGTATATCGAAACTAATTTATTCTTATATAATCTTAAAAAACTCACTCTCACATCGACCGAATGAATTCCAAGAAATTTAAATATTGACCTCACTACTTTACTTATAGCTAGACACAGAGTAGGACTACATGGATACCCTAGCTGTCTATCTACTAAACAGCTAAGCTCCTAATTACAATATTTCTCTCTTTTAAAAGCAAAGAATGTGTCAAGAAGCCACATGTACATAATGTCCGCATGGACATATATCAAGCAAAGCAAAGTAGCAAAAACCGTTAAAGTTTGATTTGGGCAAACATATATAGAAAGCTGAAATCTGCTTTACCTACTACTCTATATTTGATTTGGATAGAAAGAAATTATAGGCATTTCTTTCAAAGTAAGAGCATAAATGAATCCTATGTATATGGTGAGATAATTTCATATTTGAGGTTTAAATTTTGAGTGTTGTTAAGTCCCTGGGAATGCACAGGAGTATAGTGCATATATGCTTTACACTTCAATGGAAAAATTTGCCTTTGTCAAAATAATAATAATAAAAAAAAAATAATAATATTTTAAGTTCCATAAAAGCAAATGTGCTGGATTCTGGCCCCAATTGAACCCTACAGAACCAACGGTGAAGCCGTTGAGGCATGGGGAATGTAGGGCTTTAGGATACACATATATTCTCTCTTTTTCCAGCATCCCAGCCGGCCTCATAATGGTAACAATGCTAGCCAGCTTCTCAAACTTCTCCTTACATGGTCGCCAATGCAGAAATATAACCCTAGTTAAAGAGCATTTGCTCTTCCCTTCCTAGTTATCATACGAGACAAAGTATTTTTGTTATACCTCCTCTAAAACTTCCTCCCAATCTTTATATGGACCAACACATAGAAATTTCCAAGCCTTTTTTCCCTTGAAAAATTAATTCTATGTCATTGGTTGATGTTGATCCTGAGTAAAATGGAGCATTCCTATTTTTTTTCCTCTGGCCAGTAGCAGTTATGATTCTTCTCTCCAAAATTCCTCTGATTCTTCCTGGACCACGTGCGATAGAATTTTTCCAAGCTTCTTTCCCTCTAAAAATTCATTATAATTGGCAATGGTGATGACTTTCATATACATAACAGCCATCTTTCACGTGAACATTTTGCTAACATGACATTCATATATGTAGTTCTTTTTAAAGAATATATATCTTTCCATGTGATAACATCTAATTTGGCAGATACTCACTTAAGTTAATTTGTATTTTTGTACACATTTTCGATTTTCCTTAAGTTTTGTTTGAGAATATTGTGATGTGTTGTGGTTGCATTTATAGCGGTAGGTTTTTATTGCCTTTCACCATCTAAAAAATATATACAATATTAATTAAATTTTTAAAAAATAATAAATTTACATTTTGAAATAAAGTAATGATATAAAAGAGAAAAATTTGAAATCAATTATGTAACATGAGTTATGTTATTAAATATATTGATACTTATAATATTATGAGTTTTAATAACGTAAAAAAATTAATCATTAAATAATATAAAATTTATTTTTAAATATTTTAAATAACATTACTTATACCATTTCATTGGTTTCAAAAATTCATCCATTTCATTATTATTCTTTTAGATAAGATATCAAGTGAAACAGATGCGTAAAACATCCTCAATTGAAGCCTTAATTACATACAAACAAATAGAACAATTCGTGATCATTCAGTTTTATATGTAGCTAGACAATATTCTAGGTTGGGAAGGCAACCCCAAAAAAATGGATTACCCACGGAACGAATAAAGACTTGAAAAATTCTTTTGTCATATCACATATAGAAAAGGATGAGGCAACACTATTGGAGTAATTTGGCCACCCTAGAGAAGGATGATTGATTCTAATCCCGACATGCAGCATCAGCACTACTACTGCATGCGTTTGCCTTCCTACCCTAGACAAAGAATATCAATTTTTTGAGACCACATTTTTTATTTAGAAAATATTTGATACACTTTTTACTTTAATACATTTACCAACACTTATTGGTTCAGTTATAAAAATTTATTATTGAAAAATTTTCACCTCAAATTTAAATTTAAAAATAATAATTTTTTAATAAATGTATTGTAAAGTATATTAAATCAAAAGATATATTAATAATTGTTATATCAATTTTCTTTTTCTAAAAATTGGGTTTATTTTGAAATTATAAAAATCGAAGTGATCAAGAATCTTTGAAGCAGCATGGATGATGAAAGCTATCTCCCAAATAATTCCATGCTGCCTACAAACCCATGTGCACATTGAGTCATTGACCCTAACACAAATTAATTAAAGCCAATTTTCATTCTAAGAGCAAGTCCTATATTTAGAAATTTGTGTCATCTTTTTGTTTCTCAAGTATAGATGCATTTTTATATTGGGGGTTGTGAATTTTTAAGTTGATTTGTAACATCCAAAAATGTAAGAATGTCTATGAAATTAATTAAATATCATTAATGAATAACATATAGGGAGACCAATAAGAGTTTAATCCAATTGGTATTTATTAATTTAAAATTCTTGATTTAGAGTTAAGGTTAAAGGTTTAAACATTTGTATTACCAAGCAACTAACTCTCTAATGTAAAAAAAAAAAAAACAAAAATGTAAAGGAGATTCATTAAGGATATTTACATAATTTTATGAATATTCCTGCACTCTTTTTTTTTTTTTTTTGGCAATCAACTTGAAAAACACTTTTATGTTCATATTAACCTTGTCTTCTTCATTTTTTTTTTTTAAAACATAAAATCAAAAAACCATCTTAATCACTAGAATGGATTTGTTTGGTTTCCTCAAAACTAGTAGCAAAATCGATTTAGACTTCATGTATATATGTCACCATGATCACAAAATTTTGTATATAGGATTAATTTTTAATTTCTAGATAAAGTACTTATTCTTTCATAACAGAATATGCTATTGAGTCAAGATTGGATTAAGACTCCGACTAGGATTTCTATCTCTCTCTGTTCTTTTCTTTGGATGCTATAATAGGATTTCTCTCAAATCTATGGGATTTGTGAATTGATATGTGATGATGCCATGATGCCGAGGAAGCTAACTGAGTACTAATCAAGTAATTATTAATTAGTTAATGTTAAAAAAACCAAAGTTGAAATTCTCTTATAATTAGTGGGTTTCCGGAACACCAAACATTCGAATTATCCCATCTTAATTGGCACATAGTATCTTCAAAATTAAATTAAACATGGCCCCTACGAGTTACATATGAACTTATTCTCCACCTACTGATTTATTAAATAAAAAGATTAAAAAATCCATTAACTTTTTTTTTTCAACTCATTGGAGTTATTAAAGCTTAATTTTAGGTTATATTAATTTCAAATGGGTACTTGAATGGAGATCAACTTTTACATATTCTTGGGGGAGAATTTTAGTATAAAGGGAATAAAATTAAAGAGCTAACAAAGAATGAATCTATTTATAGGTTTATGCCGAACTTTGGTTAAAAGAAGATAGAATTCGGCCATTTGCATTGATCTTAAGAATAAAGTGGTAGGATGTTTTAGAATGTAGGATCAATCCCTTCTTAAAAACAAATTAATTAAAGGATGGGTGGGTAGGTGGTTTGGAAATCTATTGATAATTATTTCATTTTTTATGAGAATATGACACGATATTAGAGTATTGTTAGTTCATCTAAAAAGATTAGAGTATTGTAATCAAACAAAGCAGCCATGATCTTATAATAAAACTCTTGGCTTGAAATGATTGAACATTAAGCACCAACGTCTTAAATAATTAAGAACTTTTAGAAACTTAAATTTAAAATTTTAAACGTGGTAAGGGGACTGAGACTGTGAGAAGTTAATCATCCCTTTTAAGGCCCACAAATGGTTATCTGGCCTTGAAGATGGCCCAACTGAGGTCTTGGGCAGACGGCCCATAAAAAAAAGTGAAATAGATAAATTTTAGTAGGTTGAGGAACCACTCCCACCAAGCGCATCTGGTGTAGTGGTATCATAGTACCCTCCCACGGTACTGACCGGGGTTCGATTCCCCGGATGCGCATCTTTTGTTCTTTTTGGGGGCTGCAATATCATCTGCATCAGCTTCCCATTTTACTTGCAGTCTAACAAGGCACCAAAGAGTACACATTTTCTGGCCTAAAGTATGGCAAAGTTCCCCAATTATAATATTTTTTCCAAAGGAAAAAGTATAGCAAGGTTTCAACTTTCATGTTCATCATTTATAGCCATTAGGCAGTGCCTGACTGGCTACAAATTGTTGACAGACGGTACATCCCTGGATTTAGAAGCAATTTTGCATGTTAGCTTGTTTCATGGTTGGTTCTGTGCTTCACACCAATGGTTCAAGTGTAATCAATCAAACAAAGTATCATAAACAAGTTAGTTATAGAAAACTCATATGCTAAATATGTAAATCATATGAAACATTATATGCATATTGAGTATGAAACAGAACTGGATGTTGGCATCAGAATTCAGAAATATTGTAGTTCAAGTAGTATGGATAATTATCTGCCAGAAAAATCATGAAAGATGTAAATGGGTGTCTTGGCATTAAACATAGAGACAAGCATAATAAATGAAGAATACTTACGAGGTGATCCAGAGCACAACTGCACACACAACTCAGATCCCACATTCACAATTCAAAGATATGTGTTGAGGAACAATCTAATCTTATCACAACCCAATAGGGCCTTAGACAAAGCTATGCCTCTATGGCAAATGCAAATGAATCAATATCCAAAGTCAATTAAATCTTAAACTGAGAAATAGTTTGATTGATTTCATCTAACCAACAAACATTAGTCAGTACTCAATAAAATGCAAATATCACAATACTAAATAAACTGAATCATATTATAAATCCAATGTGGTTATACATCATAAAAATCACAAAGTTTTTAAAATCATACAAATAATCATCTTCAGAAAAACAGAATTTTTTGTTGCTGATTCTACCATGGATGCCAAAAATAGACAATTATAACTTCCCCAAACTAAGTACATTATCGAGGAATCAACATCATTGCAAGCACTTTGAAACAACTTCATTTTAGTTTACAACTATCAAGCACAAAAAGAGACATCCAAAATGCCAAACATCAATCATAAGTTCCCCAAACATTAAGAGTCTAAGCATTCAAAAATAACAATGGATCAAAATTTTGAAAATAAACAACTCAAAAAGAAAAAGAGCAGCAATGCTTTATATTCAATAAAATCTGAGGGAAATCATGTAAATTAGATATAATTTGATCTAACAAAGTTTAACAAAATTTAGGAAGGTGATACCATTTCCATAATAATCCCACTGGCATAAACACCACTCGCATTGCCAAGCCAACAAGCTACCCATGTCCCTCCCCAAAACCCCAGACAATATTGTATAACTTAAACTCAACTTGCTCATAAAAAAAGTTAATGCAGCAACACAATGCATTCTTGAGACCAGGAGGGAACTACACAACCTCATCAAAGTTCATCCTCCATCCTCAAATACTCCCCAATGTCCGCCTGGTGCAGCACCACAATCCCATTAGGATCCAACTTTCTACAATCTTGCGTGCTCTTGGCCGCAATCCCAAAACCCAAAGGCACATCAGACATGGAAAAAACCACAACCCCATCACCAGGCGCAATACTCTCCGTTATCCTTCCCAAACCACCCTTCAAGACATGATTCCCATACAGAAACGACATCTCCGATGTGGGTTTGAGCCAAACTTTGTGCTTCGCGTTCCCAGCCAACAGACTCAAGCACTGTATGGTCAAGTGGAAGCTGCCACCATGAGTGAACTTCCCGATGCAAGTCCCCAAAGAAACCAACTTCTCCCTCGAGATGTTGGTAGCGCGCTTCACCAGAGACTCGCTCACGTAGTAGACCTTGTTCTTCTGGAGCCTGAAGCAATAGCGCCCCGGATTCGGGTCGGGTCCTTCGTGAGATGGGTTCTCCACGATGTTCTTCAAGTTGTTGCCGGTGAATTTGAATAGCTTCTCGAAGACGGCGGTGGTTTCTTTCTCGTCGAGAGGTCTCATCTTGATCGTGGGGTTTCGTGTTTCTCTGCTCTTCGCTAGGGTTTAACTGGGATTTAGTTTTCTTTTCTTTTCTTTTTAAAATAATTTTTACTTCTGGGCCTTGAATTGGCTGGATCAGGATGGGTTGAGTTTCGTTGGGCTGAGTGAAAACTCATGATGGAGTCAAAAAGGAAACGGGCTTGGTCGAAGTGGTGCAGACTCTAGAAACAATACATTAGGGAGGACTAATGTCAATATTGGTATATTCGGCCAAAAAAATTATCAATATTGATATTTATTATTTAAATGTTTTGAAATGAGTTAACGACCTAATTAGTTCAATAGTAATTTTCTTCCGTTAGATTCCATTAGAAGTAAAATATTTTAAATTCAAGTCGCATAACATACAGTAAGGTAGGATAAGGGATGGAAGATAGTTGCTTTTCATTGTACAATTAATATAAAAAAAAATATTTTGAAATGAAAAAAGTGTTATACAATAAAAATTGTACTGAATTATATACTATAAATTATTTGATGAAAATTGAGTTCTTTAATATTAAGAACCTTATCTCAATTTAATAATTTATATTTTATAGTACAGAATAATTCAAATTATAAAATTAGATTCTATTTTGAAATTATCATCATTTACCTCTATTTTTATATTTTGTTTAAATCAGTCCCTCAAGTCAAGACTCTCTCTCTCTCTAACTGTATGTCCTTTGGACTCACCATGAAGTCAATTCTGATCTTGTGTGTGGAACGAGCAATTGATATGAGATTGTTGAATTGGTATGCCTTGTTAATTTTTCCATCCATGAATCAACAATTGTGGATTCTATGAAGTTATTAGATCTCAGCATATTGATACACACTAGTATCCTTTTGAAAATGTCAATTCTCAATCTAATTAAGGTCATTGAATTGGATGTTGGAAATTGAAACCGAGAATTTAATTTAAAATGCAAAGTAGGTTGAATACGTATTTAGGGAAAAGTAGAACAAATTAATGACATAATTGGTAGCACAAATGAATGCCCTGGAAAGTGAATTAGAAGCCCTCAGAACTGATTTTATTTTTGAAATTTTCTAACCTCTACCCTTACGGCACAGTTAAGTTTCATTTAATGCAACATCTGCAATTAATTTGACACAAAATTTTATAGCATATTCAATTAAAATAAAATATAAAATTAAAATATAATGTAATATATATACTCAAAATATATAAAAAAAATTAATATAAAAATTTTATGCAATATTAATTATAAATATTATAATTAATGATATTTAATCTGTATACATGTTAGACAAACCTTTTATTTTTTTTCTTTGAAGGGGTGGTGAAAGAGAAGAAGTAGAAGGGAAAATGAAAAGATTTTTACTTTTTTAGGCTGAGCGTATATCTTACATGACATCTAAAGCTAGCAGACTCCAGCTTTGAAGCTTAATTAGGAGACAGATTGGTTGCAGTGCTGTCTCCTAAGTTAAGAACAAATTTAATATATTATTTTATAATTAATTTTTATAAAAAAATATTAATGTTAATTAATTAATTAAAATTATTTATATGTTAATAGGATTAAAATAAATTTCAATTTTTATAATTTATTATATAAATTAATTATACAAAATATATTTATTATACTATTAACATATGTCTTAAAAATTCATAATCAATAAACAAAAAGTTTGGGAAAAGTCTTCAACCAAAAGAACTATAATTATGATTATTATTAAATTTGTTAAAATTATCAAGATTTGTCAAGTTTTTATTTTAATTTAATTATTAAAAATAGTTAATAATTAATAAAAATAAATAATAATTTAATAAATTAAAATTAATTTATAAATAAATATTTTTAAATATTATAATT